AATCAAAATTTAGGGCCTGTGTGCTGGTGCTTCCTAAAGCAAATAATCAGTTATAAGAAACGAGTCTTGGGAAGAAAAATATTTTAAAATAATAGGCTAGTGATATGGTTTTGAAACCTGTTGAAGTGGGCTCATTTAATATTTCTCAATGTCATTTTTGACTGTATTTCATTTATTATTTTTAAGGTAGGGTCTCACTACATGTTCCAGGCTGGCCTTGAATTCATTATGTAATCCAGGCCTGCCTTGAACTTGTGATCCTCCTGCCTCAGCCTTCCAAGTGCTGAGCGTATGTGTCACATACAAACCCAGTTTGTATTTCTTTACCGGTGAGAAAAAAAAAATCAGTGTATTTTGAGGTCTTGGAAAAGAGAAAAAAGAAGCTGCACACCAGTTTTCAAATACCTTGGAAAACATTTTAATTTTAATAATGAGTTGAACTTCTCGAAGGTGTCACTGTTTGCATCAGGTTTTAAAGCATACTGGAATAAGAATATCTGTAGCAGGTTCATTAATGTGAACTTCAAAACTGATTGGACTAAAATAATCTGGACTCCTCTGGGGCTTAGAGGGAAATGCAGCCCTGTCGAGGGTTTCCACTGTGAATATGAGGGCACCTTTGTCTACACCTGGACAGCCCTTCCCTTGGCTTGTGAGAACTATACTTTGTTAGGGTTTACTTTGTATTTTAAAAATCGTTCACCGGAAATCAGAGCTGGCTCTGATCAAGCCTTTGATGCGCGCAGTTTGCCGTCTCCCCTCCCCCGCCCTCTTTTGTGCTCTCTCCTGTCCCCGCGTGTGCCCGCTGTCCTCGCCGTCCTTCATTAAGAGTCTTAATCCAGGCTGGTCTTCCTGGCCAGTGCACGGCTTGCCCCATCCCCTGCTTTTCAAAATGTGGAACAACAGCTGATAGGTGCACGCACCGAAATGTCCCCACGCGCAATAACCACAAGGCTCGCTGGCCTCAGGTCCAGAGTCCGGTGCCTTGGGCTCTTTGAGGAAGGGATGCGGAGTTTGGTCCCTTTCATTTCCGGCTTTCCCTAATCGAATCTCTTCGTGGTGGTACTCACTACCTGGTGAATGAAGAGTTGCTGAGTTTTACATCTTTTGCCCTCAATCTAGTTAAACACTTTTGGGAATCTTCCTTTATTTTAAAATTTATTTATTGCAGCTCCCACTAGCTAGAGCCATCCAATGCTCACATAGAATTAGAATCTTTAAAAGTGATATTAATATTCCTTAATATTCTTCCCCCCTCCTTTCTTTTTGAGATAGGGTCTCACTATATAAATCATACTGGTCACAAATTCATGGTGATCCTCCTGCTTCAGTCGCCCAAGTGCTGGGATTATCGGTGTGCACCACCACATCGGTGTTCTTTCTCTTCAAAGAAAACTTTTCTTGATACTGGGGATTGAGCCCAGGGTCTTTTCACTAAGTTACATCTCTAGCCATCATCATCATCATCATCATTTATACCAGGAATTAAACTCAGGATCTTGCTTGTCAGGGAGGCACTATGCTGCTGAGCTACATCCTGGGCCCTATTGTTACTGCTTTTAAATTTTGAGACAAGATCTCACTAAGTCACATGGTTGCCCATGCTGGGCTTGAACTTGTGATCCTCCTGCCTCAGTCTCCCAGAAGGCTGGAGTTACAGGCACGCACAATCTCTCCTGGATTCCGTATGGACTCGTTATGGTCTCACTATGCAGTTCAGGCTGGCTTCGGCTCACTTTGTAGCCCAAGCTGGTCTCAAACTCGCAATGATCTTTCTGCCTCAATCTCCCGAGTGCCAGGATTACAGGTATATGCCACCGAGGCTGGCTGAACGTTTATTATAAGCATATTAAAAGGAAAATTTAAAAGGAAAATAAAACCTGTCATTCTACCATCTTTTTTTTTTTTTGTCTTTTTCATTTTTATCGGTACCAGGGATTGAACTCACGACCGCCTGCTTGCAAGGCAGGTGCTTATGCCGCTGAGCTAAATCCTCAGCCCCCATTCTACCATCTTAAACCATTAATAACTTAAATTCTTTGTGTTCCCTTCTGATCTTTGGCCTATAAATAGTTGAAAATCATATTTATAGTATAGTTATATTTTTATATTTTCTGTTTAATTTTACCATGTTTTGAACTGCAGTTTGTCATTAGAGAACAATAAACTACTGTAAGAATTTCTGGTGATAGGATTTCAGGTGTCTATAAAAATGACTGAAGACATTTTCAGGAGATTTTTCTAGGTCCATCTAAGTCAAGTTAGCGTAAAGGCAATGTCCCAGAGAGCAGCTGATCTTTTATGATCAAAACATAGGCTCTTCAGTTTTAGGAGAGGAAATTAGAATGGAATTCAAGGATCTACGGTGGTTCTGAGAACAGAAGGGGACTTTAGATGGGATTTTATAGTAGGTAGTGGCTCTCATTTTCACTATCACGAACTGAAAGCATGTGTCTGTCTGTCCTGGAGTCTGTGTGGAACGAATAATCTCAATTTTCTTAGTTTTTCTATCTTATTACAAATACATATCTCCATATAGAATTTGATCAAAAGGGTTTGGATGTGTAGGTCATGTTTACTAATGTCTAATAAGTCCAATTAATTTTCCTGGTAGCAATCTGATCAGCCACACTCACGCAACCTGAAGCTCTTTACAGAAGAAACTCTGGAATCTTTTCTTCTCTTCCCTTTGCTTTCTTTCTTTCTTTCTTTCTTTCTTTCTTTCTTTCTTTCTTTCTTTCTTCCTCTTTTGGTCTTTTTGAGACAGGGTCTCACTATGCAGTTTAGGCTGGCCTAGAATTCACTTTGTAGCCCAGGCTGGTCTTGAACTCCCAGCAATCCTGCCGCCTCAGCCTCCCCAGTGTTTGCCAGCACACCTGGCTGGAATGTTTTCTTAAGGGGTCACAGCAAACATTAGTAGTATTATCTAATTAACATTTTTATTATTGGAGAGCCAGAAAGATTTGGAAGATCTGCCACAGTGTACAGTATGGCTTCCATATATGATAAACTAATTTATTAGAAATGTGCACTCAAAGGCAACCCATTTCTCGCCTTTCCCTGCTGTTGTGGGCTTATTATTTGCCGTGGTACTTCCACATGACACTTTTAGTACAAGCTATGGTCCCCTTTTACTCACACTCACATACAGACGCACACACACCCTTGACACCCAACTGCAGGAGGCTGAGTCCGCACTGGCAAGTTTCACCCACCATTTCTTATTTAAATATCTGGAACATTTTGCTTCTCTAACACAAAAGCATAACCTTTTGGCCACCACCAGTGTGTGATAGCTCAGTCTAGGCAGAGACTGATTCCTCCTGGAAGGTGACAGCTCACAGAATTGTCCAGGGAGACCTCTGGAGTCCTGGGCCCTGTCGTTCAGTTCTCCTCCCAGGGGCCAGGAAATCAGGCCACAGGCCGGCCAGGGAAACTGTGCCACCCACAACAGGCAGAGAGGGGCTGCCTGCTCGCACCTGCAGAATCTGCTGTCAGCTGCTCTGCTCCAGTTCCCGGGCTCCTCTCCATTCGTGCTGTCGGCTGCCTGCTTCATTAACCCTTCCCTGTCTGCAGGGAAGGCAGCCCAGGCAACTGTTCACGGACTCATGAAAAACACAAGACCGGGAGGGTGATCGGCGGCGGGCGCCCTGAACTTCGTGTTACCTTCACAAAGTCGAAGCAGTCGCTCAGAGCAGCTGCACAGCTGCACGCGGGCCTGCTCAGGCCGGCTCCGGATTCGGCCTTGACTTCCTACGTCCGCCCCGCATGCGTCCATCCCGCCTTCCGCCGCCTGCCAGCCATTCAGGGCACCGTCCTCATTTTATGTTGCAGGCAAAAAGCCAACAAAAATATGGTCACATTGAAAAGCCTTTTAAACAGCGAGCATCTCCTTCCTTTCCCCGATTGTTCCCTGCTTTTTCACATTCCTAGTTAATAGGTTTTTAAAGCAGTTTCCCCAACTCTTTTCCTGCCACATACTGTCATGTCTGGCGTCTATGCAGCAAAAGGCTGATCTTCAAGAGGCTTTTAAATCCATTGTGCCGCCCCGTGCCTTTCAGCTGCTAACTCTTTAGGTACAGGCTGGGCTTCTTGTTTAGCATATTTTGCATGTTCCAAGCCATTTACAGCAACTACAGCCAAAGTGAGGATCAAAATAATAACTGCAATCATTTGAGGTGGATTTTAAGGCCGTGTGCGGGGTTTTATTTGCAAAGGCATCTCACAGACACCCAATGTGAAGAACACTTTCAAGACGTGTCCAATAGCAGTGTGAATGCAAACAGACGGTTTCTTTTCTTTCTCTGAGAATTCGCGTTCCTGGTGAGTCCCAGGGCTTCAATTTGTTGGAACACTGATAAATTATTTGGAAACCTTTCCCCTGCATTTGTTCTTGTCAAGAAAATAAGGGCAAGAAAAATGTGCAAATGATGGACCCGAGGAAACTTAAATGTTGTGAGTGAGGATGAAGGGTCCATATGAATACTTCTTTCTGTATCTATTGTCTGCTATGTGCCAGGAATTGCGCTTAGGATATTAGATGTAAAAATGAAGAAGAAATAGTTTCTGTCTCTGAAGAAGTTTCCAGTACAGCAAGGAGAAAGTCAAGTAAATAAGCAATTAACTAAATTAATTGCATATTTTAAGAAATAATACACTGTAGCTGTGCTTGAATTATTATTATCTTGAGCTAGCATCTTGCTATGCACTTGAGGCTGGCCTTGAACTCACTGCATAGCCCAGGCCGTCCGAGAACTTGTGGCAATCCTCCTGCCTCAGCCTCCTGAGTGCTGGGATTACAGGTGTGTGCCCCCATACCTGGCTTGTGCTTAAAATGAAAATGGCTTGTTTAACTCAGAAGAAAGAAAGCCAAGATAGGTGAGTGTGTGGTTGAAATCCAACAAGCGTTTCCTTCCTGGCCATGGAAAATGATAAAGGCTAACTTGTTCTCTGTCTCACTAAGGATCAAACCCAAGGCTTTGCTCATGGTAGGCAAATGCTATACCACTGAGCTACACCTCCAGCCTCCAAAATCTTGCTATTTTTTTTTTTTTTTTTTTTTTTTATCGGTACCGGGGATCGAACTCACAACCGCCTGCTTGGAAGGCAGGCGCTTATGCCGCTGAGCTAAATCCCCATCCCCTAAAATCTCGCTTTTAAATTATTATGGTTTGATTTTTTTATTCTTTGTAATTTAGGCTGGCTTGAAATCACTATGGAGCCCAGGCTGGCCTCAAACTCATGGTGATCCTCCTGCCTCGGCCTCCCAAGTGCTGGGACTACAGGTATGTGCCATCATGCCGGACTATGTCTGCCCTTTCTTAGGCTCTACCCTGCTATGCTTTTCTTCCACTCTAAGACCAATGATGTCATGTTGCCAAAATGATTGGAAGATTTCCAAGCAGTAAAAAACCATTGTAAATTGTTCAAAAACTTCAGTTCTTAGGATATATTCTTTGTTTTTTGAGACAGGGTCTCACCATGCAGTTCAGGCTGGCCTTGAACTCACTATGTAGCCCAGGTTGGCCTTGAACTCACAACGATCCTCCTGCCTCAGCTTCCGGAGTGCTAGGATTATAGGCAGGTGCCATCACATCTGACTGATATATTTTTATTTATAATTTTGTTTAGTGGGTGATATTTTATAATAAGTTACAGAGAACCAGATTAGCAAAGGCTTTCAAGGATGAAACTGTAACATCCGCTCTTCCCCACCTCTGCAATATCACTGTGCCGGGTACACACACTGTCTTAAAATTACTTTGTCTCATTTGTATAGTTCTGCCTCTCCCTTAAAGAAGGGACCACACCTTTGTCCCGAGTCTCTCCAGTGCCTAACATGGTGCTTGGCACATTGTATGGGTTTCAGATTGAATGCATTTATTCATTGAATGAATGAATAAACAGGGCTAATGTTTTCTTCACACTCAAGCACCAATAAATAGCTCTACTTAGCCACCTGTGTCACTCTGGCTTTACCCTGCAGTTTCTCTCTGATTTTATACAGAGCCAAAGTCTAACATCAGATATGAGCTGGTTTCTCAATGATTCAATTTTTGACAAACAAAAATATCATATTTAGTTTTTACTTGTAATATTTACCTATAAAAATACAATAATGATAACTCTACTAAAATAGATTTGAATAGTAGTATCTCTAAAGACACAGCAGCCCTAAGGAGTGTTTCAGTAAAAGCTCCAATGGAGTTTAAATGTCTACTTGGTTTTCACTTTCTTTTAAAGTTTGGCTTGGGACAATGTCATTAGACACAATACAATAATTATCAGTTGCGTGCCAAACTTTAAAGGACCTTTTGCCTCTTTTCTCTTTGCAATGCTGGGTGTGGAACACAGGCACTTTACCACTGAGCTACCACCCCAGGAGCTACAGCCCTTTACAAATATAAAGTGACCAGTCGCTGTAGAATAGAACTAGTTTGCATTTAAAAAGAAAAAAAAAAAGCTATTTGAAACAAAAGAGAATAGTTTTCCAAAAAATTTTTAAAAAAAATTTTGAGCCAGGGTCTCACTGTGTAGCCCGGGCTGGCCTTGAACTCTCAGTGATCCTCCTGCCTCAGCCTCTAGAGTGCTGAGATTACAGGTATGCACTACCATCACATCTGGCTATTTCTTTAGTTAATTTGTTTAGTGTATATTTACTGACTACTGGTTGGGTGAAAGAGTCTATTGAGTTATTAAGAGAGACATAAAAATGAATAGAAAATAGTTCCTGCTCTCAGGGAACTTGAAGTGTGTATAAGATGATAGTACACAGATAATATATTGTCAGAAGGAATATAGTTAACGTCTTGAGAAAGGTGCATGGCGGGGGAAGATCTGAGCTGGACGTGGAAGGGCTGAAGTCAGCAGTGTGGGTCACTCGAGCAGCAGAGAGAACAGCTCTGGCCAGCTCGGTGTCGGGAGCAGGGTGGGAATACGGGGACGTGGCTTTGCTATAAGCCATTGAGCTGAAACATAAACTCAGGCACCCCTGGGAAGTTATTTTTCCAATCAGGTAATGGAAATACTGTGTTTTAAGGGATGATTAAACTGTCGCTCTATGCGAGTTGCCAGGGTGTGGCCCTCCTAAGTAGGGGTGACGGGAGGCCACAGAAAAGGAGGGGAGTCTGGGGAACAAGGGGATTGGTGGTAGAAAGTCAGGAGGAGGAATTCATTTGATTTTTAAAAAGATAGGAGTTTGGTTTCTGACCTGTTGTGTTTGAACTGCTGTTGGTGCACTCAGGTCGGGGGTGGATATCAGGAAACCAGGAAACTGGGGAAATTTGGCAGAGGTCAGGGTGGGGACAGAGATTTCAGACTTGTTCTGCACAGTCATGAAAACTGACGTTCTGCCACAAAACAAGATCGCAAAGAGACGGAGGTGATGAGAGAGGAGAGCAGTGCTCAGAACCTTGGCACACACATTTAAGAAGCTAAAAGGAGACAGAGGTCATCAAAAAGATTAAAAGGGGGGACCCAAGTTGTGAAAGTTTATGGAGAACAGGAGAGAAAAGCATTTGAAAAAGGAGGAATGGTTAGTCCAGAAATTTTTATTTTTATTTTAAAAAATTTTGTTTTTTGGGAAAGAGCTCTCACTGTGTTGCCCAAGCTGTCCTCAAACTCCTGACCTCAAATGATGCTGCTGCTTCCGTGTCTGGAGTTCTGGGGCTACAGGAACCCACCACTGAGCCTGCTTTAGAAATTTTTGGTTTTAAAAAAGTTCTCATTTTAGAAACGTGGTCTAAGTTTCAAAACCAGCACCTGATTTTTTTGTGTTATAGCGTTAGAAATCTGTTCTGTGTTTGGAAGGATACCCGGGACCCCATTGACAATGCAGCTCTGGAGGACCATCTCTGTGTGCGGGCAGGGGTGGCCACAGTGGGTCGTAGCTGCCCAGATGAAAGTGGATCGGGTCGAGGTGCTGGGAGGGAGGAGGTGGCACATTCACATCAGGGTCTTTCCCCATTTAGTAAGGGAGCTATTCGCAGATGTGTGGGTGAGAGGTGGGAAATCACACAGGACAATGCAGAGGGTCAAATCCTTGAATCTGTGAATCCGAGGATGAGCAGAGCCAGTACCTGCAGGAACTCAGAGAGACATACAGACAGACAGAGAGACAGAGACAGACAGACAGAGAGACAGACACAGAGAGAGACAGACAGACAGAGACAGAGAGAGACAGATAGAGAGACAGAGACAGAGTGAGAGAGAAGCAGAGACAGAGACAGAGACAGAGACAGAGACAGAGACAGAGAGGTACCTGGTGCTGCTTTGTGACTTTGGCGAAGGAATCAAGCCTCAAGGGACTTCCAGGAAGGAAATCAGGGAGCCCAACACTGACCACTGTCCCCTCCTCTCAGGTTTCTTGTTGGAGATTGCCCTGATACAATCAGAAGCTACAACTCAGGAGAAAACATCCACACAGGGAAAACATCCTCCTGAGGCGGAGCCACTTGCAATGGATCTAGACCGGCAAACAGAAATTTCACATGATCTGAGTTGTGCAGACCTAATAACAGCTCTGTAAGCCAACCCCCACGAGCACCTTCATAGGGCCAGGTCTCACTGTGTAGTCCAGGCTGACATGAACTCACAGTCTTCCTGCCTCAGCCTCCCAAGTGGTGGGAGTACAGGTATGTGCCACCACATCTGGCTGCTGCTCAGGGTTTCGGAAGGGGTGTGTGCATGATTTTCTGCATAGCTTAGGCGTTTGCATAAGACAGTGTATAAAATAATGATTTAGGAAAAGGAGGTGTAACCTACCAAGAGAAAACAAAAATTCTCCACTTGGAAGGTTTTCCAGTGGGATTTTATAAAAGTCTCAAAGACTATATAATACCCATTCTTATAGAGAGCGCCTCCAGGTCCTCGTCATAGTCTAAGAAGTTTATATTTAGAATTCCATGGAAAAGTTATTGGAATTCTAGTGAGTTAATTTTAATTTACTACTTCCAGTGCAGCCCATGCTGAGAATAAAGGCATTAAGACATATTTATAGTTATGGGAAGCCAGGGGGTCTGAAGTCCAGCCAAGACAGTGGGTCACCAGGACCAAGGCCTTGATCTAGGGCCCAACCCAGGATTTATTAACTCGTGACGAAGGGAGTGTTGAGGATGATTGACTGTAACAAAGCTGGGAAGTAGGTGTGTTAGACAGGCAGCCTGAATCACCTCTGCAATATGCAGGATGTGCAGAACATTAATCTGCATAACACAGCTGAGGTAGCGTCTAATGTTTTGGGGTGATGCTTTAGTTTGTTTTGTTTTTGTCTTTTGAGGCAGGGTCTCACTCTGCAGTTTAGACTGGCCTTGAGCTCACTTTGTAGCCCCGGCTGGTCTCAAACTTGCGATAATCCTCTTGCCTCAGTCTCCCGAGAGCTGGGATTATAGGGGTGCATCACCATGCTGGGCTCAACCATGCTTTTTGGGAGCCACAAGCGAAGAAACAGTGACTGTTGCCTAGCTTCAAAGACCACACCTCGGCACTTCAGCCAGCCTGCTTACATTGCTTAACGTCAATTGAAAGGATAAAGAAAAGGCTAGAGCCAAGAAGGTAACCCCTCCAGTGAGCCAGTGGCAGCCAAGGGCCGGAAGGGGGACAGAGAAACCAACTCTATGCCATGAGCCAGCCGGTGCACAGACTGGGAGACAAGAAGAGCCATCTCCCGTCGCTCCTCACACACACATACTGTAAGCCACTGGCTGACTCAGAGGAACCAGGCTGAGGCCACAGCTACAGAAGTAAAAACACTCCATGATTGTACTTGACTGACTTTGTGAGCCGAAAGCTGGTAGTCTGAGCATCTATGTAGAGGATAACAATATGCGGTACAGCCACTAAGGGGGATCTCCTGCTGTCTCATTTTTGAAATCCAATATTGTTCTCACTGTTTTGTTTGGTTCCATCTTATTGTTTTGCTTTATTCCCTTAAAAAAAAAAAAAAAAGAACAAAATAGCCTAGCCAGCTCTGTACATATCAGTACATGGGAATAGGGCCAGGGTTTGTCAGAATGGAGATAATTGCTCTTCATTAAAGGAGAGTCCTCCGGGTGGTCCTCCACACAGTCTATTTTTTTCTTTTTAAAAATTTTAATTGACAAATAGAAATTGTATAGATTTACCATGAACAACATGTTTTTTGAAATACATATATGCAGTATGGAATAGTTAAGCCAAGATAACATATGCATTACCAAATAGAGTTTTTGTGAGATGGTATTTATTTTATAAAATTATTCCAAAAAGAAAAAAGCAACCAAAAGTTCTTATACAGCTGTCTAACTAATCTTATAAACTTAAATAATTTAAATCTAAAATTGAGTGAAGATATTAGATAAGAAAAGTATAAATTCATTTATCTTATGACTGTTAAGTGTAATAACCCTAAATAAAATGTCAGCTATCCAAATTCAATAGTTTCCATGTTAATCAAGTAGCATTTATTCTGAGTGAAAGGATAAACATCAAAAAAATGCATCAGTGTATTTCATTTTATTACTAAACAAAGAAAAAATATCGTGATGATTTTATGAAACAGAATAAGGTACTTTATTTTTGATAAAATGTGTTGAATAAAAATTCATATTATTTACAGTAAAATTTACAGAATATTGAGTATAAAAGATATATATAGATTATCTACAAAATTTTCTTTGAGAAAACTAGTTCACTGTAATAATTTTAGAAACATTTCAATGGAAACAGAAGGAAAAAAAAACTTCTGCAAACTAAATGCCTCTTAGAGAATTTTTTAAATACTGTTTTCCTATTAATTTAATGTTTCTGAATTTGTAAAACTGGTAACCTATATTATTAGAGGCTGAAGCTTCTGCAGGACTTACTATCTTCTAATATGCACTTTAAAATTGGCCTGCATAGGCCTACCATTAGCATCTAGTGTAGTCTTGAAAACTGTTTTTAGCAATTATGAAACCTGAAAAGTCAGTATTTATATTGTTGTACTGCAGTTATTTACCTAAACCATAAAACAGGAGTAGGTGTGAACAGATAGTTTATGGTGGCTAAATGGGGCTCATCTGTTAGCTGGCACAGAGGAACTGATATTGTGTATGTGAAGTGCTTATGTTTAGTGCTTAAAGAAGAAAAACGTGTTTACCATCACTTTTCTTTAGCTAAGAACTTACATGTTCTGTCTGGCTACAGGAAACCTGAGAAATCCCCAAGTGCCTCTACCCTTTCCTGACTCCCTAATCTTGGTCAGTAGTTAAGATTCTCTAAATACCTTCAATTTTGAAGGTGGCATTAAGTTTTTGTTTTAAATATTTGTTTTCTGTTGTCATCAAAGCATACTCTTAAGAAAATTCTAAAAAGGAGCATAAGCACATTTATTCCCTTAAAACAAAACCAACCAAAAAACTTTTTTGAAAAAACCCAGTGCATGAGAATCAGCCACCAAAGGTATAAGGTCCTGAGAGACCAAAGAAAATGGTAGATATTTAGGATTACCAAAATGCAATTTACTAGATACAGCAACAAAACAGGCAGATTCTTGCACCCCAGATTTCACAGCAGAAGGGGATTATGTGCTAAACCAGACAAAGATGGCCCATGGACAGAATGTCTGATATGTTTTTATATATAAGTTGTTAAAATATATCAAAGATCATTTCTAAGCAACTGTTGGTAAAATAAAATAATTGCAGTTTAAAAAAAAAAAAAAAAAAAAAAAAACTTCTGCAATTTCCACTAAAATCTAAACATAATATTGGAGGCCTTCTCTGTTTTAAAGACAAGAGAAAGTCGTAAATCATATTGGGATTGGATAAAAAGAGATAAAGGTTGTTACTGGCATATGATATAACTATTGATATTAAACACCCAATAGAATCTACATGCTATTAGAGGTAAAAGCAACTCAAGCTTGATAGAAATATACAACTCACTCAAAAAGAACTCTTTTTCACAGTAGTCAATTTACTAACATCATAGAAATAAGATTATTTTAAGGCATGTAAATTCATTCTCAAAGCACATGTATCTTAGATTCAGTGGAATCTATTGATATTTCAAAGGTGATTTTTGCAGAAACAGAAAAAAGATTCTAGAATTCATACAGGATTATAAAACCCTATGAATAACTAAATCAATTTTGAGAAAAAATGATAAAGCTGTAGATACTGTATGTTTTGACTTCAAAATATATTCCAGTGTGACAGTAATTGAAGCGGTATGGTATTGACATAAAGACATAGAAGCAGAATGGAAGAAATAGTACAGAAATAGTTGCATGCTTGTATAATCAACTGGTCTTGACAAGGATGGGCCAAGAAAAGGGCAGAAAAGCAAAACGTCCTCAATAAATGGATCTTGAAAAATAGAATATCTGTGTGAAACAGTATGAAATTAGGCTGTTATCTATAAAAACCAACAGCAAATAGATCAAAGATTTAAGATATCTACAAGTAAAGTTGTATGATGCCTAGAAGTAAAAGTCTAAATCTCTTAGAAGAAAATATGGAGGGAGCTTCATGACTTTGGTTTTGGCAATGAGTTTATGGATGCTCAGCAACACCCAACCAGCCACTACAACCAACTCACCAACTATCAAAACAAAATAAAACAAACAGACAACAGAACCAATGGGACTACACTAAGTTATAAAGCTTCTAGGGAGCAAGGGAAATAACTAATGGAATGAAAGCACAACCATGGAATGAGAGAAAATATTTGCAAACCATATATCTGATAAAGAGTTGATCTGTAAAACATGGACAACTCAGTGTAAAAAAAAACACCCTATTAACTCCATTTAAAAATGAGCAAAAGTCTAGAATAGCCAACTCTCTAAAGCAAATCTACAGATGACCAATGGGTATATGTAAAAATGCCTAACTTCACTAATCATGAGGGAAATATAAATTAAAATCCCAATGTGATATCACCTCATACCTGTTAGACTGGCTATTAACAGGAAAACAAAAGACAAGATGTGCAGGTGAGGAAGTGGGAAAACTGACCCCTGTACACTTTTGGTAAGAAGGCAAAATTGTGCAGCTGTCCTTATATAATATAGCAATTCCATTTTTTGGTAACTGTTCCAAAAGAATTGAAATCAGACTCTCAAAGAAATATTAGCACTCTGTTTTGGTTACTGTCTTCATTGCTAAGACAAATACCAAACACCCACAATCTAAGGGAGGAAAGATTTACTTAGTTCACAGTTTGTAGAAGTTTTGGTTCGTAATCGGCTGGCCCGAAGGCAGGGTGACATGGCATAAGGGCGTTGCAGAGGAGAAACACTTCATGGTGGGCAGAAGGTGGGCAAAGCAAACAAGGAAACCACACACTTTGTCCTTTAATCCTAGGGCCCTAGATCCTAAAACTTCACCATGAATCAATTCCAGCACCACACACTCTAGATCCAGCCACCTCTGAAAAAGTCACACCAATGATCACCTGAGGCTTTGGGGTGGCATCCAGACACAAGTCATGACATTCTGTCCCTGGCCCCCAAAGACTCATATACATCCCTTTATGCAAAAGGCATTTAGTCTATTCTCTAAGAGTTGCCAAACCCTAACAGTTTTGGCATTGCTGAAAAGTTCAAGTCCAAAGTCTCCCCTGAGATTTAAAGCAAACTCTTAGCTTCAAGCCTCTGTGCAAATGAAAAGAG